ATATATGATAAGTAAGCCCCACCTACATGCATATATGCATACACACACTGGTGTACACGTACACACACACACACACAGATGTATATGTTTATTCTATGAAACACTGGCTCTAGTTATGCCAACACTGATTAAATTCATTTACACCAGGTAAAATGCTTTCTTCTCTTGCATCAGAACTTAAGCAGATGGCAAAGTATTAGTAGATGTGCAATGGATATATGGATGGAGAGGAATATTCAATGAGGACTATGTTTGTCTGGACATTCTTGGGACAGCACTGACAGTTATTCCCTTGCCTGAGGCTCTGCTTCCATCAGATGTAGCAATTCAATTTCTGGGAAGACAGTGACAGATGCCAATTTCACGGAAGAGATTATATGTATACAGACCATCATCTCCTCTGTTGTTCCTGGGAGAGTGATTTCAGTCACTATTCTTTTTAAATAGAGGTGAGAGAGGAAATGATCTGAGTTCATTACTTGTTATTTCTTGCCTCCAAAGTATCACTAACCTGATAATGAACCATTCCCACCTGAAAAGCTAACAAAGGCTAACCAGGCTCAAAATTTTGGTTGGGGTAGTGTGAAGATGAAGATTAAAAAAAAAAAAAAAAAAAAAACCCCCCCAAAATCTAAATAGTTCCAAGAAAGACATGTAAGTATAGTATATGTCTGCTTATGCAGACTTTACTTATCTGCCAACATCACCTAACTGAATGCAGCTAAGAGCCAGTGAAGAAACCCCCACCAAAATGTTAGAATGAGGGGAGAGAGAGAAGAGGGTAACCTTTGCTGAAAGTGTCTACTTTGGGCCAAGTGCTACGATAGGCTCTTCACGTACATAAGCTCATTCATTCTGGACAGGAACCCTATAAAGTATAAATTATTTCTATTTTATAAATGAGGAAATTAAAATCCAGAGAGGTTAAGTAAACATGCCTAGGGTTGTTCAGCTATTCTGCGGAGAAACCAGCATTTGAATCTAAATTCCTTCAAGTTCAAAGCCCATGCTTTTCTTTCCCTTATACCAGATGGCCTCCCTGTAATCAAATCTTCCTGCACCAGAACTTACGTACTTGATTCACATAAGAACCCTGAAGACCTATGTTTAAGGACTATTTACAGGCAATTTATATTAGTCTGATTATCTGGCATCCTGTCCTCTTCAAATAAATTCCTGGGGAAGAAGGCTGGCCCATTAGCTCAGTTGGTTTGAGTGTGGTGTTGATAACACCAAGGTCAAGGGCTTGGATCCCTGTACCGGCCAGCTGCATACCCCTCCCCCCCAAAACAAACAAACAAACAAAACTCCTTAGGAAGAGAGCGGCTTATGTAGAGGGAGAAAAAGGTTAATGGGCATGAGAGGAAGGACAGGCACATTAACAGCAGCAAGAGATGACAGCTACATCTCTACTCTAGCTTATACAGCTTAATATCCCCTGTAGAATTCACTGTATTATGTTTAATGGTGGCCGTTCATAATAATTTTGTTCAGTAGCCTCTGTAAAGAAGACAGGGAAGTATGTAACATATTAAAGTAAGACTTTCATCAAGAATAGTTAAATTAAAATAAGTGTTGGTGCTCAAATGGGGTTAGGTTTTAAACAACAACAAAAAAACGAACTCATGGCAAACACCCCATTCCTCCATGAGGCTGGGTAAAGGAAGCCCTGGTATATTGTTAGATTTTCTTGTTTTTACTCTTTGACCTTTCTAATCTCTAGGAGGTAACAACTTATTCTTAGAACTTTTTATTCTGCTATTTTAGAATAGATAAAGTATAGAACCCTACCTAAAGCAAGACTTGTTTAAAATGTCTTTCTTGCCACATGTCTACATACCACATTAAAATAAGGAGGTGGAGGTGGTGCAGCATGGGTGTGTGTGTGGGGAGGTGGCTTAGGAGCCAGACAGCTCTGAATCTGTATCCTAGCTCTGCGATTTTATTACCGTGTGATTTTGACAAGTTTAGCTTCTTAACAGTTTCTCCAAGAGTAATGGTGAGACAATGATACCCACCATTGCTCTTTGGGGAATAAATTTATCTTATCATCTCTTTTTCTGCTTTCCATATGTTTCGAGATTAAGGTCAAGGAAAAGAATTGATAGGCTTCCCAAACACACCATTTGGGGTATATTTTCTGAGTGGAGAAAAGGGGACTGGATAAATGTAGCATCTTTCTATTCCTTCCACAGGGACTGTGTGTTATATCTCAGGGCAGCCAAAGGGCTCATGGACTCTCTCGTCTCCTTCCTTTGGATGCTATTCTCCCCTGTACTAGGAGTCTAGCCCAAGTCTACTGTTCCAGTCTGCAAGGGACAGTGGCTTTAGCTGGCTGGCTACCAGGCAATGAGACAAACCGACTCTCTGGCTGGCCATCTCTTGCTCCCTCTTTGCTTCCTTCTTTGTTGTGGGCAATTGTAATTGTGCCTTTAGTATCCTTTTCTCATATGGCACTAGTTAGGCTCTGACATTCAGCTTTGGCTTAGGACATACTGACAGACAGCTAAGTTTAGGTAAGGAGTTCCCCACAGGGTCCAGACTCATTTACTGACATTTTTCCAAAGCCTTTGAATGCGGAGCCCCAGTTAATAATGAATGCTAGTTTTCCTTCCTTTGATCATGCATTTCTTTTGGGCACTTCCTAGGAGACAGGCATGGCTGAGGGCAAGATGCAGCTCACCACCATCATTACACATTCCTAAAAAGAGCCAAGTGACACCTATTTTCCACAAGTTTCCACACTAGTGACTAGTGTGGTGCTAAATGTAATCTGCGCATGGAATATCTGGGTCCTCTGTTCCACAACATCCTTTCTCCTTCACATGTTATAAACAACACCTTTGCTTTACTAATCGCTTTTTGCTACAGAGCAGAAGAAAAAAAATACACCATGAAAACACTCTGCCAGGTTTGTTGCTAGTAAAGTGACAGGGCTTCAAAGTCCAAAATCTGGATATTGCTTTGGAAAATATCTGCACATGTGGAAGGACAGCAAGGACATGTCTCTTTTCCTTCCAAAAGGCATAAAAAGCATAATTTGCTAATAGAATGTACAAGGAAATCTCTTGGGATCTTAGGTGTCTCTTGGCATTCCCCTTTGTGCTCTCATAACAACAACTCTGACATGAAAGGAATTACCAAGAACACAGTGGAAGTAAATCAGACTGCTTTGTCCATGGTAAAACTAACCAGTCCAGCAGCTAGAAAATGTATTCCTCTTCAGGCTTTCAAAGAAAAAGGAACTCTCATACACTGTTGGTGGGACTGCAAAATGGTGCAGCCTCTATGGAAAATGGTATGGAGGTTCCTCAAACAGTTGCACATAGATCTACCATATGACCCAGCTATCCCACTGCTGGGAATATACCCAGAGCAATGGAAATCATCAAGTCGAAGGTATTCCTGTTCCCCAATGTTCATCGCAGCACTCTTTACAATAGCCAAGAGTTGGAACCAGCCCAAATGTCCATCATCGGATGAATGGATACGGAAAATGTGGT